ACTACCTAAACACCCACCACCCAAACCACGCCGTTGCACTGAAACAACAACGCCGCAGGGCCCTTTGGAAAACCTGCGATCGGAGCACACGCGAGTGGAGAAGGCGTACTCGTCGATGGCCACCAAGTTCGGCGAGGACGCGAAGAAGACGCCGAACGAGGACTTCTTCAAGATCGTTAGGGTCCGGTCACACAGAGAACAAGCAAATGCACGCGCAAGGCACACGGTCGGCAATAACACGGCTATTTTAGCGCCAAAAGATCTGCTACATACTTGCATATCGCAGCGTACACTCTCAAGGGACGAATGATGTTGTTGTTGTTGTTTCTTGAGCTCATTGAAGTTATTGGCTCGCAACCATGATTCCGTTGAATAATTCCATGGCGCTATCCGACTGGCGGAAACGGAAAGCAACGTACTACTGCTGCAGCCGGAGACAAAAAACACAAGAACGCTTTCTCTGTGTACCACGGAGCCGGGGGGAGGAGGGACAGATTTGTGTGTATATATAGATATAGTAATAGTACTAGTAATGGTGTGCGAAGGTGAATATTACAGCCCGATAGCGTGAACGCTCAAACTCCTCGCAGATTTGCCATGGTGTTTTACCGTGGTGTTTTACCATGGTGTTCTTGGATGGATGTGTGTCTTTATTTTCAGCTGAGCGGTCGAAACGTCTGATACATTTATTCATCGATTTGGTTGGTTGCTGTCTATCTGCTGTCTGTTGTCTGTTGTCTGTTGTCTGTTGTCTGTTGTGATGGTGCAGAGCGTGGTGGTGATGGTGGAGACTGCTACCCGCGAGAACCAAGAGAGGGCGGAGGCCGAGAAGGCGCGAATCAGGAGGGAGAATAGAAACAACAAGAGGTGAGGTTCAAGTGCTGAGTGTTAGTGTCGCCTTGCCCTTCGTTACATTGTAATCGTTGGTGTTGTTGTTGTAGATTATGACGATGATGATGATGATATGATGATGTTGATGTTGTTGTTGTTGTTGTTGTTGTTGCGCTTCTTGTTCTTCTTCTCCTCGGTCATCTTTCCATTGTTGTTGTGGTCGAGGTAGTCGCTACGCTGCTACCGCCGTTCAGCGGAGTCGATGCTGCGGTCGACGTGCAACACACACCACCAGCTACGCTGCAGAACGATCCCCGACCCAAACTCAACCCGGTGACATTCGCCCCTTCTTTTTGTTCGTATTGCAGGAAGAAAGAGAGGGAGATGGCCAAGGCATCGAGGCAGCAGAGCGAGGTCGACCTCCAAGCGCTTCTCAAGGGTGGGGCCGGCAAGATGCGAGGGATGGTCACTGGGACGGTGAGAGACCAGTTAAAGGGATGGAGAGGTCTTTACGCAAGACAAGAAGCAAGATACGATGTTAGGAGAAGTGTGCGTTCTTCAAAACCCTCCCTCGCGCTATTCAATGCGTGTAGGCAGAGTTATGAAAGGCAGGGCAAGTTGTGTCACTGGTGAAGAGCGGGGCTGGGGGGCGGTGGATGCAGCTGGGTTGGTTGCGGCACCTGTTTTATCCCTCGCTTAAAGCAGTTATCTGCCAAACGGGCTTGCCCAACCCCAGCGTAGAGGTAAGTCCATGCCCAGAAAGGAGAGATGGATGGAGAAAGGTTTCCCTGCTCCTGAAAAAGGAATAGACGGTGGAATGAAATCGTGCAGAGGGAGCGATCAAACGCTGGGAGGTGTCGCTGAAACACACGTCATGGAACACGCTTGCGCATCTCACGTGCACCACCGCGCGCGCAACCTAACTGGCTGCACGCACACGCACACGCACACGCATCAGGTCAACGTGGAATACGACCGCATCATGGAGGAGAGAGCCAAAGAGGGCGACGCTTTCAAAGAACTCAGCGAAACTACAGACGACAGTGTCAGGTCGGTGCAAAGGCGGGGCGGGAGGGGAAGGGGGGGGGGGGTGCTCGTGTGTGGCTGCGTTGTTTTTGGCTATTGGCCACGCGCACTGGAGCACTACTA